TACAAGAAGAACAAAATCCTCCTACAAGGGCGTCTCTCCGCAATCCTATTCATCTCAATTCCTATCCTATTTATTTAGATCGTGTTCTAGTATTTTTTTTTTCTTCTTCAAAAAACCAGCTAAGTGGAAATCACTATGTTTAATAAAAATTTTTTTAACCTGAAATATGTTCATATAAACATGGATAATATAAGGCCATATTGTTGTTGATTGAAATTGATCTTCATTCATCTGAATAACACTTAAAAGATAATTTAAAGCTAATTTTTGTGTTCGATTATTATCTTGAAATATTCCACTTGACCAATGATATATCATTTTTGTTGAAAATATTTCTGGATAAATTCTATGGTTAATCATAAAATATTTGTTTTTTTTTTATTTTTCATCAAATAGAATACTTACGTTAATATATCATTAATTAATTTATATATTGATGATGTATTTGGTACAGATAAAAGTTCAAATTCATCAGATGAAATTTTTATTAATAAATGATGAATATATTGACGAATGGATTCTTTATCAAATTCATTATGAGTTAATAATGTTCGAAAAACTCGAATCGAATTATTAAAATCAGATTTATCATCCTATATATATATATCGAAGCAAAAAAAATCACGATTTCTTACAAAAAAAGAAAAAATATTTTCTAATCAACCTGTGAAACAATCGAATAGATACATTCATCAAAAACTTCTTTAGATATCCATGAATTTGGCCATATTTCACATAATTCAATTAATGCTTGAAATGCCATATGACCAATTTGTGATTCAGAATCACTTAAATTGAAAAGAAATCAAAAAAAAATTCAAATAGAATAAAGAAACTTACGAAAGACGAGGAACAATTGCTTTGGTGAAAATCATTGATACAAATTCAAATATTTTTGTTGCATCCTAAATAAATGATCTTATCTGATGATGTACTAGAATATTGTGGTATCGAACTCGAAATTCATCATATAGTCAATGGGAGAGTTGAGCCTACTTCCTACAATCCTTTTCTGATTACACCATTAGAATACATTATTCAAGATCGAATGGAGATCTTCATTTAAAAGTTAGAAATAATACTTGTAGTGCATATCTTGATAAATATAAGAAATTCAGTTAGATGAAAATTATAAATTCATATCGATGCAAGACAATGTCCAACATGAGCATAATTTTTTCGACTCGATCTGATCCAATCTGACCCACACACTAGTACAGGGTAGTGTTTATGAAAAATAATTCATAAAAGTAAGTATTCAAACGGCTTTTTACACAAGATGTTTAATCGTAGAAAAAAAATTAAACTAACGAGAGAACCGCCCGAAGTGATTCACCGCTTTTAAGCTCATATTTTGAGCATATAGAGGGGACCTCTAGGCTAGAATAATCCTAAAAGGATTCGGACCCATTGGCGTCCGCTATAGAGTTATAGCAATATTAATTTAATTTTAGCCTAGAGCATGGTATGCACAAAAAAAGAGACTGATCATATTTCGACCTGAAATTTTGTCTATAGATAGGTCTACTCGTAACTAGAATGTCCTGAAAATTTCAGCTTAAAAGAATGTTTCTTTCACGAAATGTTGAATGTCGAGAAAACATGAGATATTAATACATTTTTTATGAGATCTGAATGACTTTAGAAAAATCAACATGTCGCGAAGGAAATATTCTTTTGAACTGAAATTTTTCGAACATTCTAATTACAATTAGACCTATCTGTGAACAAAATTTCAGGTCGAAATATCTTCAGTTTCTTTGTGTGCACATACCGTGCCATAGCCTAAAACTAAAGTAAAATGCCTATAACTCTGTAACGGAGGCCTATGGGGGGCCCGAACCCTTTTAGGATTATTCTAGTCTAGAAAACTCCTCTATATGCCCAAAATATGAGCTTAAAAGCGATGAATCACTTCGGACGGTTACCTCGTAAGCTCTAAATTCTATTAACTAGAATATTCAATTAATGATTGAATGTCCTCTACCTTATGTCCAATAAAAGGTGAAATTTTTCCTGGTTTATTTCTTCTTCCATGTGCAACAGTTGTAATTAAACCACGAAGAATAGCTTCAACTACAATAAAATAAAAAGTGTATTGTAAAATTGAATTGAATATTATCTTACGAGCAAGTAATATTGTAAAACGATATTCAACAATAGTTGATTGAATATCATCAATTAATAAATAAATAATTTTTTTAAGATTTGTTTCATTATTTATTCGTATAATATCATCAAAACGAAGGCAAGCAAGTGTTGAAAAAAATGCTTCAAAACGTTTATAATTTTTTTCTACTTCTTCATCTTTTAATGTTAAATTCATTAAAACTTTTTCACCTGACCAATTCTAAACATTCAAAAAAAATAAAAACAACAACAAATTAACTATTAAATAAATGTCTTTTTATTTTTCTTGTTGTGCATCGTACTTCTTTAATAATCATATCTTTTTCTTCCCGATTCATATCAATAAATTGTTCAAAATCATATGTTTTAGATAAACAACCAACACGTAATAGAATAAATGAAAGTATATATGAATTAGCTGCTTCATCATCCATATTATCATAAAGTGCAAGTGTATTTTCAACTAGCTGACTTGTTGCTAATATCATCTAAAATATTTTTTTTTTGCATATATATTGAAAAAGTAAATAATCTAAAAATGTACTTACAGATTGACCAAGACTTTTTTTATAATAAATATTTAAATATTGTTCAACATAAGGATATCGATTTGAAGATTTTTCTGTTGGAATATTAGTTATTGTAGATGTATGTGGTGATGGATTAAAATTTGATGTAACAGTAAATTCACCGGATTCACTTGCAAATGATGAAAATGAAGTATTTGTATTATCAGTAGATAAAGAATAATCTTCTTGAGATGATGATGGTGGTCGAACCATGATAGTGTAAGAAAAGAAAATGATTTTCGTCTTCTGTTAAATGTATTTATATAGAAGCTATAACAAAATGATTCACGGACTAATGAAAAGAAGAAGGACGAAATAAAAAAAATGATTTATTTATTTCAGTAGTAACATTCGTTCGTACTATTCTATAGTAAAGAAAAAATAGGTCATTTTGACGAGATAAAGTTTAACAGTACATATATATATATGTTTTATTATTCTTATTCATTAGAATATCGGCTTCATTTTGTTGTGATTAGTTTTTCTTATAACATTAAAATCTCATAAATCGAAATATTTAATGATTAATTTAATAATTTTTGTAAATGATAGCGCTACTATCTTTGCTATTTGAATAGCACGATTATTAACATTCATGAGAAATTCTGCCTGTATTTATTTGAAAAAAAAACACCCAAGTATTTCTAACATAAGACTTATTTCACTTTCTTTTTATTGTCAATAAAAAATTCTATAGAATAGTATCTATCAGAATTCATTGTATTTTATTTCTAATGACATGTATAAAGTAGATTCTATGATATATATTTAATTGAAATATATTTAGTTCAAAAAAAAAATTTTGTACTAGACTCCATATGACAACATATTATCAATATTTTAGCTATTTTAAACTAACATAATATTCGTTGAAGTTCCTCTTTGTTTTTATAAATAGAACTTATATTTGAAATTGTATAGAAATAAAAAGTTTTTGAGCGATAGATTGTAATATTTTATTATTAATTCATAATAACCACACAAATAATAAATATTAGTAATACTATTATCAAATATATTCAAATGATGATGCTCAGGAAGAAAATGTTTTTGACAGATAATCTATGTCTTTTTTTTTTGTACATATTCTAATGCTTGTGAGACTTTCTTTTCTTAACAATAAACAACATTCTTTTTTTCCGATGAAATGTTCATTAATTCTAAAAAAATTAAAGAATAGCAAGAAGATATTTAAGTTGAGACTATAGTGTTTTTTCAATATTAAATTATTATTCCTAGGTTCGATCTTCGTGCCGTATTCAAATGCTTTTCTACGGAAGAAAATGTTCACATTTACACTCAATTGAAGTCAAACGAGGAGACCTTTTTTTTTCTAACACTATACAGGTTTCACTTACACTGTCGACTAATGGAGGCACGATAAAACTTATTGAAAATATGAGTATACTCAAATATAAAGATCTATTAGTCTGTGGTAATTATATAACACTAAATTGATTTGCGATCAATTTTTCCTTGCTCGACTTATTAGCTGTTTGCAATTATTAGAGAAAACAAAAGCAGAATTGTTCAAACTTCATATGGAACAACCATAGTTCTTTTATGAACTCTTTTTTTTTCTATCAGTTTAAAATCATTCTGTGAGATTTTTTAATTGAATGTAATAAAGAAAAATTTTATCGTCTCTTACTCTTATTTAATATCAATGAATAATTGTCAATAAATCAACGGTTAATCTTGAAATACGATAATTCTACGAAAAAGAATGAAAGCATGTTAATTCAACTGATAAATATCATCTGAAGATATTCATTTTTAACTTAATAAAAGTTTTTTTTTACTCGATCAATATAAAATTTTCTTATTATATATATAAGACTTCTTTTTTTTTATTTGAATAAACACATTGTATATTAACAACGACGTTTAAACGGTGGATTAAATCCTCGTTTAAGTTAACAATTACAGTAAAAAAAAATTTTTTTTTTTTATTTAACTATTTATTATAAAAGAATTTATTTGTTAAAATACAACATAGAAAGACTTTGAATATATCTCAAGGTAAATGCTCTTCCAATATGATGGAATAAACTAACATAACAAATACTTCTATTGTTATTTCTAATCGAAAGAAATTGCTATTCATCAAATGTTTCATTAATCGTGCATGATTGGAGCAACGCATTTATTTGTCTTCCAACATTGAGTGTACGTTGATTTATTACAAAATGAGAGAACATATAAAAAAAGAAAAACTTTGCATAAATTTCTTTCTTTTCTTTTTCTCTGTTCTTCTATTTCATGAATACACACACACAACAAAGAAATAGTTACCAAAATATGGCAGCAACATCAGTAAATAACAACGATCAAGTAAGCTTTGATTATCGCATTATTAAACAATGTTATAATATATATATATTAAAGATAGAAATCAATCAAAATCGATCGATAATACCAGATATAAAACTTTTTTCAATACCCATTGATGAAGATACAACTGATGTGGATGGTACAACAGAAATTGAACATATAGAAAAAGAATCTGCAATTAAACAATCGGATATATCTGTACCTATTCGACAATGGTCTGGTTTATCGATGGCATCAACAGCAACAATAAATAAAAGATCTAAATCAAATTCATATAGATTTGTTCAATTAGAACGAGCTCTTATATCAGCAAATCTTCTAAAGAAAAATGAGGATCGACTTCAATTTGAAAATGAATATCTATTAGCTTTAAATGAAAATAAATTTGATGAATTCATTGATAATTATTATCAAAAAATACATGATCATAATCAACGTATTAAACAAGAACAAGAATTTAAAAAAGCACGTGTATTTACTTTTGCTGATCTTGAAAAAAATTTTTTTTCACTTGATCCAACACGTGATATTAAAATTGTATTTGTTGATGAACCAACAACATCGACAATAACAAAAACAACGTATGTATTTTTTTTTTTGAAAAATTTATTTCTATTATATTTACAATTCAAAACTAATGCCCATTTCAAAAAAAAAAAAAGGTCGATAGGTATTTTTTGAATAACTTTTGATAGAAACAAGATAGAGAGCTGCAGTTTTCACTATTGAAAAGAGGAGATGAAAACACATCGAACTATATATTATAGGATAAATTGAGCCAGTTTTTTTCAAGGACTTAAGTCGATGCCTTTGAAAACCAACGTACTTCGACAAGTAACTAAAATAAATTTTCAATAGTCAAATGTGCATTGGAATCGCTAATCAAAGATCTGCAAAAGTATACAAGGTCTAGATTTTTAGATTTACTCGTTCGGAAGTTATAGGAACTTTATTTGAAATTCTGAGCCGTTTTTTCTATGAATTCCCACGAAAAAAAACTCACTTTTCTGTGTTTTTCTTATTTTGTGTGAAACCAAATTTCCAGCTTTTTTTTTGTTTTAGAAAATTGATCAAGAAAACTTTAGAGAACATTTTAGAATAATCTATAATACACGATTCGATGCATCTTCATCTTCTCTTTCCAATGGTGAAAACGACAGCTCTCTATCTTGTTTTGTATCGAAAATTATTCAAAAAACAAAAAAACCAATCGGCCTTCTTTTTTGAAATGGGCATTAATTTATAAAATTATTTGAATAAGTCAGATCAGATCAGAATTTTAATTTCGAGATATGATGAAAACTTTCTTATATGTCACAAATAATTAACAAATTGATCTATTTCTATCATACATGTGATATTAATAAGTGTTAAGTTTTTTAAATAAGACATCGTTATAATAGCTCTTTTGAAACCTAGCTATACTATAAAAACACTTGCAACCATCAATGGATTCTGTATGATTAGTTATTGTTGAAGTATTTGCCTTTTATGTTTTTTTTATATGGACCGCTCTCACAATGAATAGCTTCTAATGGCATGACAACTTATCAAAGTATGTTTATGCAATCAATTTAGTTTATACGTTACTTTAAATAATGTCTATGCAAAGATGTTGAATATCATGTTGAAAAAAAAATTACTTCATACCTTTAAAAATTCACGACACTCTCCCTATATAAACATCAAACGCTTTTTTTAGTTTCCGAAAACTCATTTAATATGTCTTTATGTATAATGATAGCATACAAGAGTAACACTTCATCATACGCTATATTTTTTTTTCATCAATCCGTGAATTTAAAAGATGAATAACTTACCGTTGATTATTTTTTCTAGATGTGAACGACTTGTCACTAAATTGATGTTAATGAATATGAGATTCATATGAAACAGATTTTAATCATATCTATTAGTTATGTTATTCACATCTAGGATCATCATCAATGTATAATTATTCATCTTAAAACTTTAACGCTTCTATTGACAGGTCGTTTTGAGTGATGAAGTATTCCTTATCATAAACTATTACTATACTATCATAGAAACCCGTGATTTTCACCATTCAAAAGAAAAGATTCAGAGCCATCGATATACTTGGATAACCTCCGGTCTTTTCACTTGAATGATGAACTAAACAGAAATACTAATACAGTAATGTTTCTTATTATTTGTAAATAAAACCAATTCAGACACTAATTAAATATCCTAATTTTTAATTAAATATTCATGTAATCATGATCGAATTTAATATATTTGAAATAAATAATAATCTATATATAATAATTTTAATAGAAATACTCGTTCTGCTGCATCAGCACGTCAAAGATCGTCATCAACTGCCATATCGAATGATGCAGCTGTAGAATTATTTTATGCTAAACGTTCTCATCGTCTTCTATGTGATCCAGCATATGCACGTGAAGAAATATCATTATTTGCTCGTCGAGCTGCCGAACGTCTTCATGAACGATTACCACGTATGTCAAGTGTACCACATCG